AATGAAACTTTGAAATGAAAAGAAACACCTTTAGGGGAAAGGTGTGAACATTTGACCCCATAAGATCGAATGGAAAAAATCGTGGCAAGCATAATCAACTTTGCCACCATTGTCATGGCCGAGGTTATTGCTTTCGGGTCAAAGCTTCTTGAGGCTAATTGCTTCGGTCCACCGGTTTCCCACAAAAGATGTCGGTCGTCTATTCATAGCTGAATAATAGACTATACAAAGAACCGTTCCAGATCCGGGCCGAGTGGGCACAAAGTTTGACGGTGCAAGCAGAGTGCGGTGTAACTAAACTTCAAAATGACCTATCAGGATGCACCCCTGCATTAAAATTCCCATAGACACCCTGCAGTGCTGAATGCACATAGGCCCTAATTCAAAATTCTTTTAAAAATACTCCGAACTCTGACAGGTATTTATGCTGAACACAAAAATGATGATCAGCATGTCATCTTTCAACTTTCTTTTCATTTGTTGGTGTGTTGACATTAAATTTTTGAGAAATTTTCACCCAAAGAAGACGACCCCTATTTTCCCCAAAGCGGAAAAGTAGCCATCTTGAAAAACGACCCCTCCACAACATGGCAAAATAGCGCCACTTTCGAGCCTAATTGCCTCCTAAACACCGGCGGCGGAACGATTTTGAAAGTGGGGGGGGGGGGGGGGGCAGTTGCGATCCAGGGTAATTTGGTTGGAGGACTACTGCGAGCGCGAAGCCCTTACGGCGTGGGGTCCGGGGCCCGCTTAAGGGCCCCGGAAAAATTTTGATTCCAGATGCTCTGTGGTGCAATCTGAGGCGATGCCTGGTCACTTTCCCCTGATTTTTTTTGAACAGAAGTATTTAGAATTATAAGAAGAAAGTTTGTTTTGTTTCAAAAACATACTCTTGCTCTTGTAAGTTCTGTTTTCAAATTTAGAACATGTATTTAATGTATAAATTGTTCCAATAATAATAATAATAAGTTAAAATTTATATAGCGCCCGTCCATGAAGAAAATCATGCTCCAAGGCGCTTTCTATATAAAAAGTTAAGACACAGGATAAAATTACAATGAAATGTATACTTAAGAAGATTGAAGCCCGGTTCATACACAGATAAAAATACAACGAGATGTACATGTAAACTTAAAAAGAAACGGAACCCCGCCTCGCCCCAGCACCAACGCGATGCCCGAACCGGCTTTAAACACTGAAGATTGATTCCAAGATTGATGCTTTCTGATGTTTAACCATTTTGAACAGTTCCTAAATGTCTTATCAAAAGTTAAGATTTAGTATTAAGTGCGAGAACAAATTGCATAAACATTTCATGTACATGTAACTATTCATTTAATTCAAGTTCGAAGTCGGCGTAATTTAACCAATGTAAGACTTAAACAAGGAGTAATCAGGCCTACATGTACATTGCACTCAGACCTCTGCCCAATGGACTGGGCAGTACCAGTTAGGGACGGGGTTCCTGTACCCTACCATTTGGGGCAACAAATGGGACCCAAAAAATTGGACTGGTATGTGTGTAGCTACATACACTCTACATAAAAAAAACTAGAATAAAGCGCCCTCATCAGACAAAAAATACAAAAAATGCTGCACAAAATTCCCATGTATACGTAGTACATACCCGTTGCATAGGGTGATGATAGCCTTTAATTACAGAAAAAAAGACTTTCTACAGAATTATATCGTGCGCCAAACAGTTAAAAAAAAAGTCTACAGGCATCTACCCTGTACAGGAAAAGTCTACAGGCATCTAACCTGTACAGAAAAAGTCTACACGCATCTACTCTGTACAAAAAAGGTCTACACGCATCTACCCTGTAGAAACAAAGTATAGATGCATCTGACCTGCACTAAAAAAGTCTACACGCATCTACCCTGCACAAAAAAAGTCTACACGCATCTACCCTGCACAAAAAAAGTCTACACACATCTACATTGCAGAAAAAAAAGTCTACACACATCTACCCTGCACAAAAAAAGTCTACACGCATCTACACTGTACAAAAAAGGGTCTACACGCATCTACACTGTACAAAAAAAAGTCTACACGCATCTACCCTGCACAAAAAAGGGTCTACACGCATCTACACTGTACACAAAAATGTCTGGTATAAATCAAAACATTAAGTGAACTAGAAACAAAAACCACATGTACACAAATTAGTCCTTGTGTCGCCTAAACACCGGATGAGTTTTTTTGAAACTCCCGCTCTCCGGTTATCACCAATCTAATGGGCCCGCTGGCGATGTATGTGTTGACAAGTTATAACCCACCCATCACCGCAACCCAGCAGTGGAACTGATTTTATTCCCTATATGCGTATTGAATTTCCAAAAAAGGAAAAAACCTTAACAAATACGCTCTAGGCAGTTTAGTCATATAACTACACAGGTACCCATACCAGTGCTTGTAAGTCTTAAATAAACGAAAATCTTCCCTAGCTGGTTGCAAACACAATGTTTTTCAAAAAAAGATTCATCAGCTCGCAGAGCCCCTCGTACTCCAATGTTCTCATACATCCCATAAAAAGAAAAGAATGAGGAACGGCCCTGCTGATGCTGATAGCAAATCCCATCCCCCTCCCATGTTTTAAACCCTAATTCACGGCGGCAACTTTCTTGGAATGACCTTGGAACTCTCCAACAAGTTATTAATATCAACAGATTATTCCCTGAATTTTGCTTGCACAAAACCGGTTCTTCCTTGCTATTTTCCTAGCCAGAAAACCACTTCTTTTTAAGAAAACACAAGTCTGATAAAAACTTAAATGCATGGTGGCGGCCAAACTCCATTCCATATGTAGACTTTTTCTGTACAGTGTAGATGCATGTAGACTTTTTTCTGTACAGTGTAGATGTATGTAGACTTTTTCTGTACAGTGTAGATGTCTGTAGACTTTTTCTGTACAGTGTAGATGTCTGTAGACATTTTTTGTACAGTGTAGATGTCTGTAGACTTTTTCTGTACAGCGTAGATGTCTGTAGACTTTTTCTGTACAGTGTAGATGTCTGTAGACTTTTTCTGTACAGTGTAGATGCATGTAGACTTTTTTATACAGTGTAGATGTGTGTAGACTTTTTCTGTACAGTGTAGATGTGTGTAGACATTTTTTGTACAGTGTAGATGTGTGTAGACTTTTTCTGTACAGTGTAGATGTCTGTAGACTTTTTCTGTACAGTGTAGATGTCTGTAGACTTTTTCTGTACAGTGTAGATGTCTGTAGACTTTATTCTGTATAGTGTAGATGCATGTAGACTTTTTTTCTGTACAGTGTAGATGCCGGTAGACTTTTTCTGTACAGTGTAGATGCCTGTAGACTTTTTCTGTACAGTGTAGATGCCTGTAGACTTTTTGAATGGCGCACGACATAATTATGTAGATGTACCGGTAGGCCTACATGTAGTCTTTTTTTCTGGAATTATAGGTAACGGGTACTACGTAGACATGGGTATTTTGTGCAGCATAGTTTTTTGTCTGATGAGAGCGCTTTATTCTAGTTTTTTTATGTAGAGTGTATGTAGCTACACACGTACCAGTCCAATTTTTTTGGTCCCATATGTTGCATGGTATAACAAAAGCAAATCTTGTCTACTACTCTAGCTGCATGGAGTTGTCAATCATCCACTGCTTGCAACTGTAGCGTACACAACCAGACTACTACGTATGGTTGTATTTTTTTTTTGACCCGATAAAAGTGGGGGGGGGGGGGCATGCCCCCCAGTGGAAAAAGTGGGGGGGGGGGGGGGGCAATGGCCCCCCCCCCCCCCCCCCCCCCCCTGTTCCGCCGCCGGTGCTCCTAAATGCCTAGAATTGGAAGCCCCAAGTCCGGGCCAGAGTTTCGTTGTCATATCTCTTCAATTCCCCAATTTCATGGCTTTCAGAACTCTTGAAATAAAGAATATTTTGAGGGTATATATTTATATTCATGAGCTCAATCGGCGGAGGGATTTAGGCCTACGTACCGGTGTACACCCATCGGATACAGTCAGAGCCGTATATAGAGAGTTGCGACATAAGGGTCGCACTGTTTGGAATATAAAAACACTGTTTTTATACAATTCGTACACAAAAGTCCCCTGCTGCACTGTACACATAATGGCCGTTCTGGTTCAACAGTCAATGAAGGGCGCCTACGTACATTCGTATGGATGCATTGCAGACGTATTGCAATAGGACCCATGTAGTACAGCCAGTGCGAGTATATACTGACACGAAGGTAGGAATTTAATATTTTCATAAAAAAATACCCGAACTGTAAACGAACAGTCTAACCAAGTGCCTTATTGGCTCTAACTCCATGAGAAAAGGATTGGGGTTGGTTTTAGTGACACCCTATTTGAGCAAGGTTTGGTTTGGCATGGTCGGGTGAAAAATCTATATGCATGTTTATGTGCACGTTCCGTTGAAAATTGCTGTGCGTGCCATTCAGTGCCCCAAAACCAAAATAGAATTTGGAAGTTGACTAAGCAGTGCTAGAGCTTCCTATGTGTCCGCAATGGCCTATTTTTTGGTTGTTCATTGTCTTCATTTGTTATATATAATATTTGTTCCGCACGGTAAATGTAGGTTGGCGCAGTAGTCTGAGACTATATTTGTTTATGTTGTTGTTTTACATGTTGGAAGTTGTGGGGAGTTTTGTAAAAAAAAAAAAAAAACGTTTCACAAAAGGGATCGAGTAAGAGGCTGATTTGTTTGAAATTATTCTTAAGTATTACAATACGCTCCAGTCTGAGTAAACTCTGGCATCTAATATTTGAACCGAGCCGGCTTTATATGAGAATGCAGTTTGCCAGATCATCTGTGTATGGCATTAACACCCTACAATTATAAATGGGGCCGATATTTTAAGAACTATGCAAAATATTATAACGTATTCCAGCACCAAATTGTTTTTGGACAGTTATTGTTTCTTTTCACTTCCCCCGAAGAATCTACGAATTGAATAATAATATATCACAGCACAACTCAGAACGAGGTGTTTCGTGAATAAAGCATGGCCGACCGCAGCCTATCAGAAGAGTCCAATCTAAATGCCCCGCCCATAGCCCCAAACGGCAACGATCAGGTCACGGAAAACAACCAATGGCAAGAGACATCACTCGATGTCACGCCCACAAATCCAAGCAACCCAGCGGCTGCAAGTGATGGCGATTCTGCTGCCGCTCCAAGGTCGAAGTTCACTTTTCACCAAAAGATCATCTTTCTCAGCGCGGGTTTGACTTCCTTCGCAACTTGGAGTTCCTATGCCATCATTTCAGTTTTCTTTGCGACAGAGGTGGGTAAAAACCGAACGTCAAAACAAGAGTGGCGGCCGACTATTAAACTACAGGACAAAAGCAAGTTTGACAATAAAAACAAATTGCGTCTTTTGAGGCACACGCTTGGTGTCGCACTTTCCCCTTTTATTACAACGACGACCGATGAGGGCGCTGTCCAGCTAAAGTTTGTGGTTTACAAAAAAACACAATTGTAATTCATCGGCTAGTTTTTATCAGAACATGCAAGTCGTTGCTTGTAATTCGTAACTTGCCTTTTTACAATCATGAATGTCAAGAAAAGGCAATTTGCTACATTGCTTCCATGGAAAACAAATATAAGCGTAGTCTTTACACTTGTGATATTTACCCAGAAAATGACGTCATTATTCACCTTTAAACAAATGGTCATTTGTTATTTTTTTCACACGTTTCGCAGGCTAAAGCGAAAGGAATGTCGCAGACGGTCGTAGGACTTGTGTTTAGCTGCTACTTCATCGCGTCTGGTATAGGTGCACCGATCTGGGGCAAAGTTGTAAGACTTTTAGATTTGAACTTACTTGTATATAACGTTTACCACTGCTCTTTGTTGGGTTTGTCGTGGTTGCTTTTCTTCTTTCATTGTTGCTGGTGGTGAAAGATGGCCTGCCTAATTTCATTTTGTGCCCATCTCGCTGACTGACTGACTGACTGACTCCCCCACTCCCCCCCCCGACTGTAACTCGAGTGATTGCCATTGCTATCGTATAGGATACCCCTCTACGCCATCGAACGGGATAATTCAGTTATAATGCATACACCAGGATATGCATGAAGACTTCCACTGCATGGATGGCCATTCTAAAACAAGATAATAATATTAAGTGGGCTTTGGGACCAGCTCTACTAGGCTTCCTCGGACTTTTTGTCTTTATTCCGTCTTTGTTTTTTGTCTCTATTTTTGCCTCTTTCTCTTTTTGTGTGTGTGGGTGTGTGTATGGGTTAAAGTGTAAATCGAGAACGCACCTGTGAAACATCCCTGTGTAATTAAGGACAGGAGTCAAATCGAGGACGTCCTCGATTCGACAACGTGTACAAAACCAATGAGAGCTGTTGCCGAAAGCTTAAGATATAAAAAAAAGGATCAATAATCAGGATTATATAACTGACATATAGATCCTAGTCATTTGATTGGTGGAACTCACATCACATGACATTCGTTATTGCTCCCATTCACGCCGCGGCTCAAAAAGTACTATCCGCCCATGGGGAATGGGAAATATTATAACACCTCACCCACAGATTCTTTGTCTTGATTGGCCGAGAGCGAGTCACATGATACTTTCTATTTTTGCTATCTTTCTGTGCACCGCCAAAAGTACTATGCGCATAGCAACCAAAGTACTATACCATTAGCAACCAAAGTACTATTTCCACGTTGCGGTATTTGTGTGCAAATGCATGTTGGTGTGCGCGTTGCGCGTAGCACGCAGCGCGTTTTGTTCCAAAGAGAGCGCGCCGCAGAGTTGGGTTCAAACATTTCGCGAAGGGGTAGTTTGGAGGTGAGAAATACATTCTCCTCCAGTTTTGCATTGAAATTTAAGTTTATTTCATTTGTGTTCAGATTTAAATAATTTAAATATTATAACCAAGCAGAATCTGTGGGTGAAATGTTATAAAACAAATATTGAATGCTTTATCTCGTGGTGAAGTAAAACTAGCCTCCCTCGGTGATCAATGGAGCATTCTATTTTAGAATGTCCATGGATCACCTTGGGAGGCTAGTTTTACTACACCACTCGAAGCATTCAATATTTGTATACTATTCAACAGTTAGGATCATGACGCGGTATTTGTGTGCAAATGAATGCTGGTGTGCGCGTTCAGCGTTGCGCGTAGCGCGTATTGTCCCAAGATCCGGCGCTACAGCGTTAGGTTCAAACATTTTCGTGATGGGGTGGTTTTGAAGAGAGAAATAGCTTTTCCTTCAGTTTTGTATTGAAAAAAAAAAGTTCAAATATATCAAATGACAAGGACCTATATGTCAGTTATATAAAACAAATATTGAGTGGCTTTAATTGTAAAATGGGAGGAATATTATCGCTCGGTAAAATCTGGACTTTTCCAGTTCACTCGGCTTCGCCGCGCCTCGTGAAATGGAAAAGTCTAGATTTTACCTCGCGATAATATTCTTCCCATTCCACGCTGAGCCATTCAATATTTGTATAATAATAGGTGAATTTGTCTTTTAAGAACCAGGGTATTTTCCATACCAGGATTTCATAATAGATGGTTTCCTTACTGGACATGAACATTACCAGTGGCGTAGCCAGGAATTTTTTCAGTGGAGGGGGGGGGGGCTGAGTGGCGCTTGGGGGGGGGGGCTGGAACATTTCATGGGGGGGGGCCTCATGTAAAGCAATGCAATTTTTTTATGTTATGCAATTTTTTTTATTTTAGAATGTCCATGGATCACCTTGGGAGGCTAGTTTTACTACACCACTCGAAGCATTCAATATTTGTATACTATTCAACAGTTAGGATCATGACGCGGTATTTGTGTGCAAATGAATGCTGGTGTGCGCGTTCAGCGTTGCGCGTAGCGCGTATTGTCCCAAGAGCCGGCGCTACAGCGTTAGGTTCAAACATTTTCGTGATGGGGTGGTTTTGAAGAGAGAAATAGCTTTTCCTTCAGTTTTGTATTGAAAAAAAAAAGTTCAAATATATCAAATGACAAGGATCTATATGTCAGTTATATAAAACAAATATTGAGTGGCTTTAATTGTAAAATGGGAGGAATATTATCGCTCGGTAAAATCTGGACTTTTCCAGTTCACTCGGCTTCGCCGCGCCTCGTGAAATGGAAAAGTCTAGATTTTACCTCGCGATAATATTCTTCCCATTCCACGCTGAGCCATTCAATATTTGTATAATAATAGGTGAATTTGTCTTTTAAGAACTAGGGTATTTTCCATACCAGGATTTCATAATAGATGGTTTCCTTACTTGACATGAACATTACCAGTGGCGTAGCCAGGAATTTTTCGTTGGGGGGGGGGGGGGGGGGGGGCTGAGTGGCGCTTGGGGGGGGGGGCTGGAACATTTCATGGGGGGGGGGGGCCTCATGTAGAGCAATGCAATTTTTTTTAGACACTCCAAATCTCGGTGGGGGGGGGGGGGGGCGACTGGGGGGCGACAAGGTTTCATGGGGGGCTGTGCCCCCCCCCCCCCCCCATCGAGATTTTGAGTTTCTAAAAACATTTCATATAATAATAGGTGAATTTGTCTTTTAAGAACCAGGGTATTTCCCATACCAGGATTTCATAATAGATGGTTTCCTTACTGGACATGAACATTACCAGTGGCGTAGGTAAATGTGTCTTTTAAGAACGCCCCCCCCCCCCCCCCCCCGTGGCTACGCCACTGCAGGTCATACAATTAAAGTTTAGGCCGAGTAAAAAAAAAAAAGTTTCTCGTCCGGGTTTTTGAAAAATAGGAGGAAGAGGGCTTCTTATTTTTTATTTTTTATTTTTTTCAAGATTGCCACCATTTAAAATTTCCTGCAACCGTTGGTGTTTCCACTGTTCAAAGACACTTTTAAAATGAAAGACAAGTTGGACAAGAGAACCGAACATATTTACAGTGTCCTTTAGAGTTGTATTGGTCTACCAAGAACAGTTTTACATGCATTTGCTTTAACCGCCAAAAGTCGCGAGCGTATTCTTTAAACACATGCTCCAGCGTGAGCTAGTCTCATACCGGTTGCATTCTGGCTTTGAAGTCAGCATTTACCGCATACAGTACGGCAGACAGATTCCGGTTGAATTTTCAAACGACAGTAGTCTAAAACTATCAATAAACATACATGTACGTAGTCTGGTTCCCTATACCTGACAATTATTCCTGACGCTCACGTCTCAGCCTCGACTCCATGGGCGTGTAGATTCATCAGGAATAGTCAGAATCTTTTGGTCTGGGAACCAAGTGGGTGAGTTGTTGTGAACTCGCCATGCTCGCACTGTCGCAGGGGTAGCGATCACACGTCGATATTATGTGGTGTACAAAGTGACCGACAGAGTCTATACTGAAAACTTCGACTCACATATTTCGCAAGTATTTATTTTCCGATGAATATGTGGACTTTTTCAGTGTTTTTATTGCATTTTTTTCAAAAATAAAAAATAATAAAAAAATCCAGGCGGCCTCCAAAAAGGAAGCGGGCGGGGACGAGAAACTTGGTTTTTTTTTTACTTTGCCTTATGTAAACTTGTATGAAGTTCAAAGAAAAGTAACTCCTATGATCTATTTGACACCAAGTTTGTGTTAACTTGCCGGTAACGCCCTAAAAAATTATCCAGACAAATTTGTTTATATTTTTAACATGTTCGTCTGTCGGTCTTCTATGCTGTTATGTTAACTTTTAGGTACCTTCAATGGTACTATGTTTAATTAACCTGTTCATTTGTTTAATTAAACTAATAACGCACATATAGTTGCCAAATATGGCACTAACAAGTTTGAGGTCGGCAATTTCGTCTTTAAAATCTGGGTACGTCGGGTTACCGTACACACAATTGTCCTGGAGACAAAAGTACCAAAGTACAGAAAGTCGTACGCAAGAGCTCCCCAGCAAGTATCGCTGACGCCATTATAATTCCAAAATTTCTCACTGTGTCACACAGTGAAGTAACTAAACAGCGTCATTGTATTGTGCACACATAAAAGCATTCAAGTCGCGTTCTTGCACACTTTATGCAAGTCGACATAGATATCCTTGAACCACTGCCCCTGCTTTGCATAACAAGTGTACATGAATGAACGATTCGACCTTTATTCAAAGAAATTTCTATGTACAGTCACCAGACTCTATACAGTAAAGTCCCCGTCAAAACGGAAGTAAATAATGCACGTGCATAACGCTCGGCTACACCATCGTACAGTGTGGCAGAGACACCAACAAGTAACAAAAAACTAAAAAAAATAAAAAATTGATAAATATTCTGATTGAATTTTGTTAAAAGATACTTGTTGGTGAGGTATCACATATTCTAGCAAATTGATAAAAATGTACAATATTACAATATGCAATTTTGAGGGAAATGGGCAAAATACTGCATAAATAATTTCACTTGATCATATTCATAATGCACAAACCGACAATTTTCATTTTCAGACCCACAACGAGAAATATTATTAACACTGGGCTTATTGTGAGGAGTTGTGCTGGGAATCCATGAAGGATGATGAAGATGTTATTTTCAACATAATTTCTAAATAATTTAATGGGACATTCCTGTGACATGAGCCTTCCAGATGAAAAGTTTATGTGTGGGAAAGTATGGTACACAACCATGACTGTATGATTCAAAAGCAGTTGTTGAATTTAAACAAATCGGGGAACATACTCTGAACCCTCACAGGTGATCAAAACATACATCAAATGAAAGCTGAATTAATCCTCTTTACCTTTTTGGAAATCTTGATTTTTTTTGGGGGGGGGGGGTTTGACCTATGACTTTTGGGTGATTTTTCCCTCCAACGATGATCACCCCATCGCCATTTTGAAAAAACAAAAAACAAACAGATTCCATGGATATAGATTCCATTCAAATGTTTTGTTCAGAAATCCAAATTCAGGGACATGGACCCTTCACTTCTACAAATACAGACCCTCAAGTGCAGGGGCCAAACTTCTTTATTATTACAGATAAACTAGAATACAAATCGTAATTTGGCCGGATTAGTCGCGCCTATTTGGGCTGCCTCTCAAATGTACTGCAATCGGGAAATCTCCAGCGTAATAAAGACTTCAAGAAACTTTATTTGATTTATTTTATTCAATTATGTTATTTTAAATCTTAAAACATAAAATAAGCTAATAGTTGGACAGGCTGCCACGGATATGTAAAAGTAAAAAAAACCCACAATTGTCATCAGACGATTATCCAAACCCCTGCCAATAAAACAGATTTAAAATTCCATTAATAAAAAAGTACTATTAAAGTACTATTGAAAAGTAAATTGTACAAATCATACGAAACCGCACGAGACGAGACATGACGAGACATGACGAGACGAGACAAGACGGGGAGATGAGACAAGACTCAGCAAAAAAATCATAGAGTGAAACATTAGACAAACCAGACAGATACAAAAATATAAAAACAAACTAATAAATAAATACTCTTACAACCCAACAAACAAACAAACAAACAAACAAACAAAACAAACAACCAGACTCAATAACGGGAATGAATGACAAACGGGCTAAAAAGATTATTACAACAAAACAAAACAAAACCGAGAAACAAAAGCAATCCCATTCCCCAGAGAGAAAAATGCAAACCATAAAAACAAACAACCTAGTTGACATACATAGGTCTACACTCACATTAAATACACACAATAAAAAAAGAAACAACAAGGTTTCATGGGGGGGGGGGGCTGTCGCCCCCCACGCCCCACCGAGGCTACGCCACTGAACATTACACTATATATATTATATTATTGAAATTCTGTTTGCACCAAGGCCACTGAACGTTGCTCTTTTGGCCACTCAAGAAGGCTTTAGGCAAACGTAACAACAAGTCACGCAATCAAATGATAATATTATTGCTTCCTGCTGGTGGTGGCCGGTACACTGGTATTTAACTGCTCAAGGAAATTCAATGTATCCTGAAAACCCGAATATAAACGATATATCTCCCCACTGTTAAAAAAGGAGGGGAGGGCATGTTTCCGTATTTATTTCCGGAAAATAACCTAAAACTACATTTTTAGAAAATAATAGCATGAAGGTTCTTTTGCTGGGAATTAGTCATAGTATAAATTATTCTTGTACACCAGCACGGGAAAGTTCTATCAGAGCTTTCGGCAACCATCTGGCTGTCTTTCTCAATGTACGTGACGCCGCGGCTACTGTCCAGTCTCTGTTTACGAGGCTGTAAATCTGCCTCGGAGACCAGCGCTAGCTGGTAACCCTTGTCACGGTTTATTGACGGCTTTATGGTGGTGGATGTAGATTGCCTCCCGTATTTTTCGTGATATAAAGAGTGCGTTCGATTACTTCCCCCAGCTTACTCGCGCATGGCTCCTCGCGCAATGACAGACATGCGCAATGGAGCTAAATAAACATTTTTCCCAGGCTGCATCCGAATCAATTAACTGTCTAGAGCATGCACGTCCACGCCCAGTGACAATACGCGGGGAAGTGCTGACAACAATTCGTAGTCGTAGCTCCGTGCATAGAGCTACATAGGGTTTGTAGCTCTATGCTCCGTGGAAGCCCGTTTCGGACACGGCCTGATGAGGCGCCCGCCGGACGTTGCTTGGCCTTATGGGATACTTACCCAAGTAACCGGCTCGGCGAGTCGGTTACTTGGGACAGGCTCGAGTTAGCGCGAGAAGTCACGTGAGAGGTAAATCGAACGCTGTCGCGCTTACACGAGTAAGCGCGGGAGAAGTAATCGAACGCACTAAAGTGTGCCTGCTGCTGGTCAATGATGCGTGCTGACTTATTGGCTAGCTACGACTGGGGCCAATTTCACGGCGCTGCTATGCACAACAAATTGCTTAGCAAAAAAAAGTCTGGCTTATAAAAGCAGGTTACCAGCCAAAACTATACGTGATGCATATTGCTCGTGATTAAATATTTAGCTGTTGTTTGCTTAGCCTGAAAATCACATGGAGTTTTGGCTGATAACCTGCTGCTATAAGCCAGACTTTTTTGTGCGAAGCAATTTTTTGTGCTTAGCAGCGCCGTAAAATTGGGCCCAGCTAGTGACACAGAGGATCCAATGTCTGCCCCTCTCTGCTGGTAAAATTCACTGTCATACAGGAAATAATTTCAAGAGTTGGACAATGGGTTTCGGGGACAAATCCCGTGCGGTCATGTAGGGTGGGAGCGTTCTCGAGTCATTCTTTGATGATTGGGATGGCTTTATCCACTGTGCATGGCACTCACATCACATGACACTTAACAATCTGTACGAAGCACCTTCATGTCCCTAACTTGGCCCGCGAAATCCTGGGAGTTTCGGTTGTGATGCTCCGTGTTCCCAACCAAGGTGGATATGACACTGGAACTGTGGCTGCTAAGCAGTGGCACATTGAACCTATCCTAGATACGATGGGGCGAAGGGGGAATGTATCTTAGGTAAGCCGTAGAACCGAGGGGGGGGGGGGGGTTCACAGATTGTAGGATAAACCGTCTTGTAGAGATTCTCGGAAATCTGCTTCAGCAATTTGTGACGTGTCATCGACTCTGAGGCGTGTGACACGCCATATGCGTGAGACTTGCTAGGTCGGCATGTCAACGTTTGTAACTGACTGACTGACCGACCGACCGACCGATCGACGGACCGACCGACTTGATGATTTGTTGATCCCGCATCTAATAAACCGATTCACGTACATCCAACCACAACCGCGATCAAGTTCATGCCGTAGTTCATAAAGTGTGGCACAGAGGTTCACGTGCCGTTGCACACATTATGCAGTGGTTGCTGGTTAAGTAAAGGTAAATTAAGGTTATTGTTTACATTCATTTGTTTTCTTCCCCAGCTGCCACGTTTTGGCGCCCGTTTCGTATTTCTTGCGGGAGCTTTTGTCACCGGCGGTTGCAGCGTCCTGCTGGGGTACGTTTTAGCTGCTGGCATTGCTGCTTTCTGTTGCCTTACAAGATGTTTATTCATTCTATTGCAAATCAGGCCCCCTTTAAAAGAAAAACCCTCCTTGAAAGGAATAAGGAATACAGCGCTATAACACCACAATAACGAACATTTGGCTATAATAAACATCCCCGTTGACTCTCCAAACATTAAATGTTACGATAATGCACAATAACAATAACGACCGCTCTTACAAATATGTTTTAATGGACCTCATAGTGTTCGTTTTTCTTTGGCGTTGTACTGATGGGTGCAAACCTATGTTACCCAATACCTTTTTTCCACATACCTATGTTCCCCAATACCTATGTTCCCCAACCCTAATTCTAAACCTAATCCTAAGGATTTTGGAAAACATCGGTATTTGGGAACGTAAGGGTAGACCCCGTACTGATATATGTATGTATCCTTTTCCCCTTTAAACTCTTTATTGGATACATAAAGAGATACATGTATATTTTGCTGGTCCCAGGGGGGCCGGCTTACACTCCCCTTCCAACCTGACTGTCCAAAAACAGACTCACTCACTGACTATCACTTGTGCAATTAAACCTTCTTAAGTCTCATTGTGGCCTAAACGTTTGAAATGTACACGATTACCTCATATGCAAATGAAAGGGTTAAATCCGGCCTATCGTAACACGTGTAGGCCACACTCATGCAAAAAAATTAGGTGAATATATTAAAGCCTGTCAGTGAATATATTAAAAGCCAAGTCATTTTTCTTCTTCTTGCAGCTTCGTTGTGGATATGCCTACATTGGCAACCTTTACAGGTTTCACTTTTGCCATACGGACCCTAGAAGGCCTTGGATCGTCCGCCTGCAATACTGCTATAGGTGCCATTCTCACCTACACCTTCAAAGATAAGGTCGGCGTTGCAACAGTAAGTACATATTTAACAAAGGAATAATAACACATGTAGATGGTGTTTTCGAAAAGCGGGGGTCCGGCTTCGGCTAACTTACTGAAAGAAGTTTGTCTATCTAGCCAAATGGAAACACTCCAACGGCTTTGCTTCATCTCGTAGGGTTTGATTTGTTGCAAATTGTGGACCGATTATGAGCCGCAGTCCTCCAAAGACAAGGGGCCTAAAGTTCCACAGTGTGACAGCTGAAGACGAAGCCGAGGTTTTAAAACTCCCAATTGTCTGTTGTTTTTGCTGCAGTAATCATGACCACTTACCTTACAGTAAGCATGCGTTTTCCTTTCTGTCTTTTCTCAATGTTTTGTACAACTTAGAGCATGATAGAAACTGTCACCGGGATGTCGTTTACACTTGCACCAGTAATAGGCGGACTCTTCTATCATGTAAGTATTGTGGCGGGAACCCCCCGGGCCAACCCAAGTCTGTTAGGATAAGTCTGACTCCTAGTGGGGTGAAGACAATCTTCCCAAACCAAGGCTCTTCCCTAGACGAGAGATCACTCAGAGCGACCTTCAAGGCTAAGGGTGCAGGTCCGTTTTGGTGGAAATCTACCGCCCGATTATGAATGAGTGTTGATTATTTATCTCTGTTAATTAACTGCACAATAAACCTGTAAACACAAACACCGGAAGCAGAATTGTCGGTAATCTCAAACAACAATGATCGTAATTTATTCAACAATAATCAAGTACATTAATTAGGATGTGATTCGGTGGGTTGTTTTATCAACAGGGTCTTTAGTTACTGGAGATAGCCCGCTGCTTGCCTATGCAACAACGCACACAGCATTAAGCACTAGACAACAATGGCAGCAATGAGCAACTATGCACAGCGCTAGGAATGAATCACTGAGTCAGCAATGCACAGCGTTACAAGCACACAACAGCCGCTTAGATATGTATACAGTCCGTTAGCAGGGTACTCGCTACGCCGTGTGTGTAAGCCCGAATTCAGCTACACACACCAGCGCAACCCCAGTACAGCTACACAGACTTTGTACACAAATCGCCTAAGCAATTATACACGCAGAGTACAAGTAATTTACCTACTTCTCTGCCCGCTGTCGCAGCTACGCCCTAGCCCGCTATCTCCAGACACCCAGCACTCAACACTCTAAACAGATGAGCCCCACACTAGGCACACAAGTATCTCACCTAACAACGATTATCTTCTAAAGCCAAACCGCTAAACTTCCTGATCTGAAAACAGAACTTCTAAACTTCTAAACCACGCGCGCTTCCAGGCACGCATTTATATACCAGGTACATGTAGACGCTACGTCATGTCTACAAAACATGTGCGTGTACTAACCGTATGGTGCGCTAAACTTATGGGAGAAATTAGCCAATCACGTACGCGCAGCAGCCCACGGATCTCGTAAGCTCCACCCGGTCACTGCACACAAGTGATTAAGCGTTAGTGCTATGGCATGACGTCACAACTAAACACTTTCCGCCACAGTATTATCAATCAAGTATTGTAACTCAACTCTAAAAAACAAAACAAGTACAATTGTATACATCTCGAGAGATTTTGATTAATCCCTTCCCATCCCCCCACCCACCTCACCAACAAGCCATCCCAGCCCCGCCCCTTCTGCCCCCTCATGACCACATCCATGCCCACGCCCTGATGACTTATCAAACCCCATGTATTCGTTCCTCTTTAATATTCACCACTGATAAAAGACGCATTTGTTTCTGAACAGGCCGGCGGTTTTAAGCTCCCATTCCTTGTAAATGGCGGCTTTGTCTGGGCTTGTGTTGCTGTCAATTACTTCTTGATGCCGAAGATTGGTAAGATTGATTCAAAAAGAATTATTTTTTTCTTCACAAACACAATGTCCTCATACGGATCATGTGACTATCTGGGGTTGTTGTGAGCAGTTTATTAGCCTGCCGCTACGCTCAGAACCACGCCCATGACCACGCCCACAACTATGCCAATGACTACGCCCACGACAACACCCACATAAACACGACCAAAGCCTCCTGACCGTCACCGTTTTCACGAAGAGCCACATAGGCCTATGTCAAAATTACCATTTTTTCAATGTCGATTTTTTCAATATTTTGCTTTAAAACAATGTACTTAACAATTTTGACATGTTTCTGTAAGCAAAACATCATTGATTTCCAAGTTACATTAATGTTGCAAGGGGCAGAAATCTCGATAAATGCATTTTGCGTTTTGTCGAAGAGCCACATACATTTTGGCCCCTTGAACGTGTACAAAACCTATTGCACGGAAATACGTAAAAGTAGGTCAACTGAGATTTCCGTTTTCACGAAGAGCCACATAATATCTTTGTTACATTTTCAGCTGCGCGCGCGTACTCACGCGCACCTATGGAAATTCACGTTAAACAGAAATGGCCAAAATGTCGGAAACCTAAATTTTCGTTTTTACGAAGAGCCACATAATAAGTTTTACCAATAATTGCTGTATTAGGTATAATTACTTGGTTCACGTAAAAAGTCAGCTCTCATACAATCGTGTGATGGTTTCCTTGCTGCACAAAATTGTTGCAAAGTGGGTTTTTTTGGCATTTTTAAAATATGAAAAAAATATAGCAGCAATTACTGTTGAGTCAGGCTGCACACGAACGCAGAATAGAGCCTGAAAGTTGACCCCTGGTGGCACGCTTCCGGACCCTCGAATAGGAAAATTAGCGTGTAAAACTCGGAGTCTCAAAAATTACTTTTGGAACATTGATTTTTAAGAAGATCACCCTCGGAAAAGGCCTTTATATTGTTACTAGCATCTCAATGTGTGGAAACCGAAAAAATCACTTGACGTAAAAGAGAAATATAGAATCAAAAATTGATCCCTCACTTTCGAAAATCCAACATACATGAGGACTATTGGAACTCGCAGCACTCGTACAAAGATAAACATTTATGAAATAATTTTGTGGCGGTCATTGGGTAAAAACTGAAAATTAAATAGGAGACAAAGATGTCTTTCGGGACACGCATCTTTTTTTAATAAACTTGAAGAACTAATTATCATTTACAAATAATTAACCCTAACTCCCTAGGCCTTTTTGCTAGGATATACCTCAATCCTGCATAATCCTCCAATTGGCCTCATGGGGAAAAAACATATCCTCAATCCTGCAAATTCCTCCATTATTTCTTGAATATGGTCCATAGAGGGGTGACCACAGCCTGAATCCTGCAAAATCCTGCGGCAATGGCTGTCAATATTTAGGCTTGACCAGTGACATCCTTGAGCAGTACAGAGAATTTCAAGCATAATCCAGGCCTATATGTATGCATGGCTGAGCAAAAACAAAACAAGGAACGGCCCAAGACCCTGACAAGTGCGTCCTACGAAATCAGTAACGCACTTTTGCCGTGTAACCTCAATCCTCCAAATACCTCCACTTCGGCAAAGAGGATTTTGAAGGATTCAGGGCGACCGTTGATAAGAACTGTATTTAAGCAAGCCCAACGTAATCAATAATCCATGGGTATAGGTAGGTAATCTTCGCGTCGCAATCATTTTCGTTCCAAAGGGTTGTGACAACAAACGTGATCGAAAAAGGAGACCTATAGGTACGAAACTCCGGATATAAAAGGTTGTAAGTAAAATTCGTTTTTACTCATCTCCAACTGATTTCTTATCATTTTGTTGTGGAATGGCCAGGATAACATTTCAGCATGAACGTTTCTTGCGGTGATTACGGTTGGAAATCATTGTCAAAAATTATAGCAAGAGAAACGGCAACCCCATGTACACTGCCGATATAGAAGGGTCGCGGAGGGTCCAGAAGCTCAAAGAGAAAATGGCGTACTTTCAGGCACTATTATCGGGGTTTTTTTTAAACAGAGGGTTATTGCTGCTCCAATTATGTTATCAAGACAAAATATTTTCTTTGGAAAGGGAGCCAACATGAGGAAACCGGGCCTATGATTGAAGTTATGAAGCTGCCAGCTGTCTGGGTAGTCTTACTTGCCTGTTCTTTCAGCTTGCTTGCGTACTCTGCATTGGACCCAGTGCTGGCACCTCATCTTAAGCAGGTATGTCGCCATGGTAACACTGATCGCAGAACCAAATTATGACGTCTTATGATTCACCAAACAACACGCGGGGAGCATGCTTAAAGGCAGAGTACATCATTTGCAGCGATCCAAAAAGTTACTGACGAAATTATTGAAAGGCATACTTGGTTTAAAGATGCACTGGTACTTGTTATTATTCTGGCATGCCGTCATTTTGAAGAAAACAATAAAAGAAGGTCATTTCCAACGACGCGTCTAAAGACGCATTTTTGGAAATGTCCGTTAGTAGTTCGTTTTTAATTCGGCAAAGCTGCGAATGAGTGCGTTCAAGTGTTGACACGATGCATACGCGCGCGATTGCTATTATTTGTCAGTTCAGAGCTTGACATCGCCTAGCTGCAATCGACTGACCGAGAACGCGGCTTGCCCCGGACGCTGATTTCGCTCGCAATTCAAAACATGACTCGGCAAGTTTTATCGAGATCCTTGAATCGTTTTCTGGGAATTTACAACATTCACTGAGCTGAAACTTCAGCGGGTTAGTTGTTAAGCACCCTTCTTTAGATTTTGAGCACTTTAGTTGCTTCAAACGAAAAAAAATGCACAAAATGACAAATAATGTACTCTACCTTTCATGATCAAGTAAACTTGATTCCTCGATCCTGATTGGTCGATCCATGGCAACAAGCCGTGCTACATAATAAACATGTAGCACGGCCACGGTCCATACTACACTTCGCATATTGCACTATTAAGATGCACGCGCCGTTCTGTACAAGAAGCACGTGTGATAGGTAACCTCGTCCCCAGGGTGTCGAGCAGTACGCGCCCATCACTACCTGCTCTCTCACCCTGGTATTGGATCATTTGCATGTGCAAGATTTTTGAACACGTATGCAAATGAGGAATAGTTTGGTGCCTGCATGTGCGTTACATTAGCGTTTGTATTTGTATGCGGTGTCTGGGGTAAAACAGAGTCAATTTGTCGCAGCAAGAGCATGGCGTGAGTTACGCAAACACATTTGTTTTTCATTTAAACTGTTACGATCCTATCGAGACAACATAGGCCTACAGTATTACATTTCTTATTAATATAAACAATATTGGAAAGGAAATGATCGCGCAAACACGTACTGCACGTTGTGAATAACACCACCAAGTACACGATAAAACTCCATTACTATCCAATTGCGGTATCGAATCAGAATACAGGGAGACAGTTTCCTATCCAGGGCTTACTATTGAAAACGCAGTTGGAAAAAAAGTAAGCACTGGGGACGAGGTTGGTGTTTTAGGATAACCGCTGAAGAGATCGTGCACAGCCATAGAGCTATATTGTTGGTAGAGTACGTCATTTTGTGACGGACATAAGCGCTATATTTAGAAGTCAATATTATTATAAAATAATTATTATTAGTATGGTTTCCTTTCAACCAGATGTTGGAAATAGGATAAGTAAACAGTCCAAAAGATAAAATTTTCGGGGATTTCAGGACGCAGTGCTTCTTTAAAACAACTGGATGCAAGGTGTTTTTTTATTAGCAACGCGTACCAGCAGTTTGAAACAGAAAATAAAATACGAAGGAAAAATGGACAAAACGTCGAAAGAAATATCCAGCTTGATAACCCATTTTGAATTTTGTTGGCGAAATAACTTAATACTGTTAAAAAAATACTTTTCCGGACATACAAATACACTTTTGCATACAAACCAACAAAAGTGAAGGTGCGCGTAACGCAACTTTTGCCCCACGCGCTATCAAATCGTGACCGTTTTCACGAAGAGCGAATTTAGTATTTCAATGTCTGAACAAACATTCCAGAGAATTGCGTTTAAAGTTGGTCCTTTTTTCATTTGACAATTTGATACTTAAAGATGCATAATATATGCAAGATTTAGGTATCAGAGGAAAGAAGAGATCATAATCTCCCTAAATGTAGCAAACTTTAAGAAAAATAGGTGATTAGTTTTGCAGAATGATTCAATTAAGAGAAGTGGCTGTTCGTGAAAACGACAAAAAACGACCAATTAGCAAATTCGCTCCTTCGTGAAAACGCTCAAGTGAGTACGCGCAGTTTTCGTCCTACTGCGGGCCGGGTCAATGCATTTTTTTACAGTACGGGCAGATTCTGCCCCACTGCGCGTGCGCCTTGAAATTCGCCCCTTCGTGATAACGTTTAATTGCACGCGCCTGAAATTCGCCCTTCGTGACAACGCGTCATTGTATTTATTTACTGAAAATGTATTAATACCACAGAGTGCGGAAAAATCGCCCCTTCGTGAAAACGCAAAACGGCACTTAGGTTAACCCGTTAATTTATTCTTTGAAAGTATAGCCTCACCAGGCTGTAGATGTTGATATATTTATTCATTTTCACACACACACACACACCCACACACACACACGCTTCGAAAAACAGACGATTTTCATGTTATTCGCCCCTTTGTGAAAACGGTGACGAAATTATGTCGGCCATTGAAGATGCAGATTACGCGTCTGTACGCGCTGCCGATCTAGGTTTTTTATTATATATCTATGGGCAGAATGAGCGTCTGTACGCGCTGCCGATGTTGTCTATTTATTCTATATAATATATAGAATAAATAGACTAGATCGGCAGCGCGTACAGACGCGCATTATGAACCGGATGGCTTCATAAGATATAGAATAAAAACAGACTACATCGGCAGTACGAACAGATGCGCGTTCTGCCATGGGCGGCGCCATTTTTCAGCGTGTGGGGCAAAAGTTGCGTTACACGCACCTTTGTTTCCGTAGGTTTGTATGGAAAGGTATATTTTTAAGCCCGAAAAAGTAATATTTTTGACCTGTAGTAGTTAATTCCCCTGACAAATTTTAAATGGGTTACCAATCTGCACGTTCATTTCGAGGTTTGGTCCATGTTATTCCTCGTATTTATTTTCTGTTTTAAAATGCTGGTGCGCGTTGCTAAAAAAACCCAATGCATTCAGTTTTTAAGTGCTAT